AGAGTTCGACACCGACTTTAAGAGCTACGATTGCTAGTCGGGATCTTGGAGTCATACTTGAATAATAGTTTTAGACTTATCCAAGTGGGAGACTGTTGGATTAGATGTCTAAGCCCATAACTATTATTGGTATGTACTCGACCCGAGAGTAGCATGGTCCATTAGGGTTGCACTTCACCGAAACAATTTGTATGACTAATCTTTTGAGAATAGTATATTTATGATTTATTAATATATTATAAGTTATAATATATTAATATGAAATCATATTAATCAAGAATTAATTTGGAATTAATTTGGTGATCAAAAGAGACTAATTAAATATGGACTCTTATATATATAGAATGGGTCAATGTTCATTTAGGATGAGCTAAGCTTGCATGGATAGTCCATGGAGTTTTTAACCCATGGATCCTATGGAAATGAAAGGTCATGGGTATTAGGGTTTACATGGATGTAACCCTAATCCACCATACTATATAAAGAGGTCCTTGACACTTGAAATTAGCACTAGAGTGTGAAGAAAGAGGGCATAGCCGATTTCTAGTGTGCTTACTATTCTCTCAAGTTTCCAAGGTGTTTTGGTGATTTGTGATTCCACTTGAGGCATCCACATTATTGGTGCTAGGCTCTTGAAGCTCCAAGGAATCAACCACAAGAAAAGGTATGTCATCCTACTAAGTTTTATATTACAAGTACCCCATGATATGCTAGTTAGGATGAGAACCTTGGAAAAACCATATTTGCATGTATAATAGAGAAAACATAGATCCAAGGTTTCTAGGGTTGCACGTACACCATAGGAGTGTTAGAATGCTTAAAACCCATCAGTTTGATCTAGGGCCATTACTACATCAACATCACTCCAGTCCTTGAACACCTTAGTGTCAATAGGCCATGTCCCGAATGGTTGTCTAGAAAAACCATTCGACATCACTATTGGCTTAAGCTCCTATCCTATAAGTATCTTTCAACCTATTAGGCCAACACGAAATCCGGATAGGGTATACACACCTAAGTTTAGGTTGCTAGCCTATTACCCCCACCAGTTTATTCCCCATTTTAATTAATGTTTTATTAATTCTTCACACAAGGGTTACACAACGCTCCTCATTAATGTCCCTAAGTAATCATGATCAATTATTGTTAATATTATAGGCATATTACTTCCAAACTCCTCACTATGTAAACACGCATATACAACATATCAAGTTAAAGCATTTTACATCACCATATAATCATGCCTATATTAGTGCACATATATCACTAACTTGCATTGTCCTAATCATCATAGACAAGTATTTCTAGAAAAATCACATCATGCATTCATCACACATAATCTATAACAACCGTTTTCCAGATTGGTTTAGCTTAAGACTTAACGAGATAAAAGATGGAATTTTTGGGAAAAACTCCATGCCACGACGTGGCATGACTTAAATGGAACACGTCTATCTGATGAGTGCCATGACATGACAGTAAGATGGCCACGACGTGGAAGTTGTTCTGGCCCGAGCCTATAATTTTAGATTGGTAGTGATCTATTAGGTTGGTAGATATATATGATTGCCTGTGCTAGTTGGTTATTTTTATATGTGCATATGTCGACATATTATGGTTGGGTTGAGGCGGTCCTGCTTTGTGTTGAATGCCAAGATACCCAGGCAATCCATTTGATACTGTAGGCCCAAGGGAGCGGTCCAACTTATGTTGTAGGCTTGGGAGCGGTCTAACTTATAGCTAAAGGCTCAGGTGACGGTCCATCCGTGTGTTGTAGACCTTGTTTGCATGAATTGTATGTATTTTACTGTGAGGGGTATTTTGGGGGAACTCACTAAACTTTGACTTACAGTTGTTGATTTCATGGTTTCAGGTACATCAGATGATCAAGGAAAGACGATGGTGTGACCGTACACATCCTCCTACTGATATATGTTTTGAGAGATTACTGATACTCTGATTTTATGAATTTGTTTTGAAAATAATGGTTATTTATATTATGTTTTGTGGAAATGGTTTACAAAAATGAAACTTTTTTATCATGATTTTTTTGGGATGTTACAAATGCGTGTAATACACTTTGGTGTTTAAATGTACCCATCGGCATAAAGATTCCAAGTTTTATCAGTGTATGGTTATTACAGTGAATCATTAACTTCTTTGATAGAAGAATTTTTAGGGCGAGAGAGGATAGGTGTGTGTAATACATCACGGTACATGATATACCCATCAATACAAATTTTTCAAGTTCTCATCAACGTCTGGTATTATACGCTGAATCATATAACTTCAAAGAAGAAATCAGGGTAAGAATGGATTGATGCGTGTGATAAGCTATGGTACATAGCTTAACCATCGGCACATAATTTTGAACTTTGATCAGTGAGTAGTATTGCTTACTGAATCGTCAAGTTCTAAGTAGAAGAATTGTATGAGAGAGATAGGATGTCTCAATCACACTGAGGTAAAATCAGCATAAATCATTGACAGTGAGTGACTCATCAACAAGAGATGGTTTAGTCCTTGTATCATAGATTAAAGTTGCAGACTAGAATTAAAATTCACCATCAATTTGAGAAACATGGTACATGACCAAATTGGAAAGAAGATAAGAACAAATGAAACAGTCAAAGAAGAATAAGTCAAAAGAGAAATTTTGCATCTTTTTCAGGAGAAGTAATAAAGACCGGATCCATTAAATCTTTTGAATTGAATGGTCGTTAATGAATTTCGTTTCTATAGGATATCTGTCCCTCAACATTTTCTATAAAAAGGAACACAAACAAGATCAAATATGTTAAAACAAACCACAACACAAGAAGAAAAGAATACCCTTATACATTAAAATACCGTAGATGGACTCCAAGCTTCATATTCACCAAGAACAAAAGAGGTTCAACAACATAGTCTTTGTAAGCAACAAGTTATAAGCTTCCAATGTTTATAACATTCGAGTTATGAGAATCAACAAGACTATACTCAAAGGTTCCATTCATTGTGAATCATGATAGAAAAGATGGGGACCATTGTCTTGACAATGTGCTCTTTGGATCTTAGATGGGAAAGGGTTAGACAGTGAGAGCGTCTATGTAGATTTGTCGTGCCAAGCTACCTAGCTTCACTTCATCACATTACAACAAAATAGGTTGCAGGAAAAGGCAAGAAGAGTGTCTAGAAAAACAAGTTCAGACACATATCTTCCTTATCTTGAGTCGACTGTAATACGCTCTGTGTCTCACAACCTAACCATCAGCTTCAAGATGAAGGATGTTGGTGTTGAGGAAGATGCAAAGCCAACTTCAATAAGAAGATCTTGTACCAACGAAAAGGGAAGGTTGGAAAGGCTGATCTTTTCTACGAGGGATGAGCAATAATGATCAACGTCAAGGAAAAGATAGATGATTAAGTGACGAGAGGTCAAAAGAGAAGAAAACACATAGTTAACATTAGATAAAAACATACAATGTATACTCCTTTGGAAGACAAGTTAGAAATCTTATTTTCTAATGCAAAGAGTAGGATTTTTTTTTAACAACAAAAAAATCACAAAAAATTATGTTCAGTAGATCTAGAATGCGAAGAAGTAAAATAAAGAAAGCATGTAACAGTATTGTCAAATTAAAACATGTAAATGTCATTTTTCCTGAAAGCAGTGAGCACGATTGAGTTCTTTGAGTCAATGACTTTTTCCTTTATAACAATCGTTTTGCACTTTATTGTTCCAAGGCCTTTAACAGTTCCCTCGCTACTATCTCTAAATGTAACCTTAGGACCATCTTTCTTCACATAGTTATTCAAGAGAGACTTGAGACATGTCATATGCCTAGAGCATCCACTGCCTAAGCACTAAATGTGCTCCTGACCTAGACACGTGGATGAGGGGTTCCAATTTTCATTTTTTACTCCCTTGCAGCTTGAAGAGGATAATCGTCAAACGTGCTGAAGCTGCTATCGTATTCCTCAGAGAGGACTTCATTAATACGCGTCATAAAACCTTTGACTTTTGGTTTCTGTTTCTTTGGACCGATGGCCACGTTCTCAACCATAGGCTGATACATGGGAACGTGGCCATCGGTGGAAATCCAAAGCAATAGTTGTTCACGAAACCAATTGTTTTCAACGAAACAGAAATCCAAAGCAATAGTTGTTCATGAAACCAATTGTTTTCAACATGGTTTCATGAACAACCATATGTCCATTCCATTGTCTGTAACCAGTTATATTTCTTGGTAGCAGAAGCTTTTTGTTATATATATATTATTGGCAGGTTCATAAAAAAGAAAAAAGATGGATTGATTATTACATAGGTAGACTTAAGTACGTTGCACCTCCATTAAATAGTTGGCATTGAATTTTAATTACGTGATTATCTCATTTAATGTCTATCCAAGAAGTAAGTAGGTTACCCTTCACCTTTTCGATAAAGGACATTTTTAATATGGACTTTTTAAACCAAAAATGAAAAAATCATAGGGCTTAAGTGATAATTTTTTATTTATATTATAAAATACAACCGCTTTACAATTTACAACTTTTACATTGAAAAACAATAATAGTGTTGAAACAAATTCACCGGTGAAATTAAGAAAAAACCACATCCTAATTACATGGTATTCATGACCTTGTATTTGACTACATGTAACATTTTAATAATCTAGAAGGTCAAATTCATGTTTTTCTCATATGGTTATAGAAGATACCAAGTAATTTTTGCAACTTGAAAGTTTTTAAAAATAGTCAAAGCATTAAACATTTAAAAAACATGTAAACAAGTGAAAATAAAAACCATATGTTTTCAATTAAATATCATTACTTTATAAAACATGGGTCGGAATAATAAAAATACCCCAAAAGAAATAGTTATAGGTGTAAAATATATTCAATTGATTTATTTACCAAAAAAAACCCTTGAAAACAATCAAATCTAAATATTTATTAAAAAATTGCCTTCTGGAAGATTGAAAAGACAAATCTTGAGGAAAAAGAAACCCATTTAACAGGGCATACACATTGAAGAGCATACGGCATATAAACCATTCCATTCCTAAACAAAAGCTAAATATTCCGATTAATCTTCATATAAAATCACCACCAACACAACCCATTTCAATCGCATTCTCCCACAGCCGCCGCCTAATTTTTTCTTCATTGATTCCATTCTGATTCTTCAAAGTTTTCTGAGTTTTCGTCTCAATCGATCGGAAAGAATATGGATCAAATGGCGACTGATCAGAGCCTGCAACTAGTAGGTACGAAGAGGCCGAAAACGAAGATTGTTTGTACTTTGGGACCTGCATCTCGATCGGTTCCAATGGTTGAGAAGTTGTTGAAGGCAGGGATGAACGTTGCTCGCTTCAATTTCTCTCATGGATCGTTTGAATATCATCAGGAAACTCTCGATAATCTCCGACAAGCCATGGATAACACCGGGATCCTCTGCGCCGTCATGCTCGACACCAAAGTAAGTTTCTACACTAATCAATTTAGTTTGATTAATTTCAAATGTTTCTCGCGTATGATTCACGTCAACGCTACAGTTTTACAGTTTAAACGTTATGTAAATTTGACCTAATTGTCATTAGTATGCGTACAAAATCAAATCGAATCTCGTTCTCGATCTTTTAGCGGTTTATATCAATTTTGACTACGTAATTTCTTCGTTTGACCTTATAATTACTCTTTTTTTTCTTCAAATGATTAGTACTTTGATTTTTCGTTACAAATCCATCACTATCCAATCCAACAATATACTTTGTTACAACGAATTTTGCCTAAAATCAAACCGAAGAAAACGAATCTAAAATCAAATAGCTTGTTTGTAAAGCTAGATTGATTGTAAATGCGTTGTCTGACTTGTACAGTACAACCTTGCATAGCATGTTCCATGATCTTTTCCTATTGGCTTGTTTAATTGATTTTGTCCAATTGTTCTCCTGTGTTTCTTTATAGAATTGATGACACATGTTCATTGCTCATTGCTCATTCTGAATATAATTCTTTCATTTTGTTTTTTTGTGCAATTTGAATATCACATTCATATTCAAACCAATATCCAAACAATTGATTTCGTTTCTTAAAACTCCAGGGTCCAGAGATTCGAACAGGGTTTCTGAAAGATGGGAAGCCAATACAACTAAAACAAGGTCAAGAAATCACGATTTCCACTGATTACACCATTAAAGGAGATGAGAACACGATTTGCATGAGCTACAAGAAGCTAGCACACGATGTGAAGCCACAGAGTGTGATACTCTGTGCAGATGGAACCATTTCGTTTACTGTTCTTTCTTGTGACATTGAGAATGGGTTAGTTCGTTGTCGATGTGAGAACACTGCTGTTCTTGGTGAAAGAAAGAATGTTAATCTTCCTGGAGTGATTGTTGATCTTCCTACTTTGACTGAGAAAGATAAAGAAGATATAATGAAATGGGGTGTTCCTAATAAGATCGATATGATTGCTCTTTCTTTTGTTAGAAAAGGCTCGGATCTTGTTGAAGTTCGCAAGTTGCTTGGAGAACATGCCAAAAACATCCTTCTCATGTCAAAGGTTCGTTTTTTACTTTTTTCTTCAGAAATTCCATGTTATTATAAATTGGACATGTAATTTTTAATCACCTTTATATAATCATTTAACTTTGTTATATAACTTACAATTACACACTACAAATATAACTTGGTATTCTATCAAGTCATAAAGAAGAAACAATGATTGTAATTTGTAGTTTGTAATTGTAATTTATACAAAAATAAATAATATAATTGTTGGATTTTTTTTTAAATTCATAGTTAAACTATTTACTAAACAATTAGTTTATAAGCTATCGTTTTAAAAAAACTATTCATGTCAACGAGTTTATTGAGCTATTTTAAAATTCTTTTAAATATACCCTTTATTATTTATTGGGTTAATGTCATAAAAAACTTTATATTTTGTCTTTTTCCGGATTAATCCTCAATTTTATTTTTTTTCCTAAAAAATTTGTATTTTTTTGTTTTTTCGTTTTTTCCAATCGGGCTTTTTAGTCATTTTTTCCATAAAAAGTTGTAAAATGTGAGGGTTTTTCATGAAAAACTAAAATAGTTGAAGATTTATTTGGAAAGTGTTAGAAGGTTGAGAGTTTTCTTCGAAAAAAAAACAAAGTTTGTGTTTTTTTGGAAAAAATGAAAAATAGAAGGTTTTTTTTTCTCTGGAAAAAAAATAGAGATGTTTAATCCGGAAAAAACACTAAATATAAAGTCTTTTATAAGATTAACCCTTATTTATTTAAAAAAAAATCAATCTCCTACATACCTTTTTATGTCATTTTACATATTTCAGCTAGTCTATCTAACTAGCTGCCAAAGCCAAACATCTTTTTTATGGGCTTGTTTTTCGGTTAGTCTGCCAAACACAGCCTAGACTGGATCGGTCCTAATCAGTATTTTCTGGTATTTTCAGGTGGAGAACCAAGAAGGTGTAGCCAACTTCGACGACATCCTTCTCAATTCCGATGCATTCATGGTAGCACGTGGCGACCTCGGAATGGAAATCCCAATCGAAAAAATCTTCTTAGCACAAAAAGTGATGATCTACAAATCCAACCTCCAAGGAAAACCCGTAGTCACCGCCACCCAAATGCTCGAATCCATGATCAAATCCCCCCGCCCCACTCGCGCCGAAGCCACCGACGTCGCCAACGCTGTCCTCGACGGCACTGACTGTGTCATGCTCTCCGGAGAAACCGCCGCCGGCGCCTACCCAGAACTCGCCGTCCAAACCATGGCCAAAATATGCATCGAAGCCGAAAACACCATCAACTACAAAGACCTTTTCAAAAGAATCGCCGCCAACGTCCCCATCCCAATGAGTCCACTCGAATCCCTCGCCTCCTCCGCTGTCCGCACCGCCATCGCGTCCAAAGCGACCCTCATTTTGGTGCTCACGCGAGGCGGCACCACCGCGAAGCTGGTGGCTAAGTACCGCCCAGGGATCCCGATTCTGTCGGTGGTGGTCCCGGAGATTCAAACGGATTCTTTTGATTGGTCGTGTAGCGATGAGTCGCCCGCGAGACATAGTTTGATTTTTAGGGGGTTGATTCCGGTTTTGATTGCGGGGTCCGCTAGGGCTTCGCATGATGAGTCCACTGAAGAGGCGATTGAGTTTGCTTTGAAACATGCCAAGGAGAAAGGGTTGTGTCAAGATGGAGATGCGGTTGTTGCGTTGCATCGTGTGGGGACTGCTTCTATTATCAAGATTGTGACAGTGAAGTAAGGAATTGGAATATTGGATTGGATTGTGGCCATTTTTGCCTGTTTGTGGGTTACTACTATTAATAGTCGATGGGTTTTGTATCGACAAACTGGATTATTGCATTTATGTTTGATTTGAGAAACTTATACGTAAACGCTTAATGCGCTTTCCGGCATTTTAGTCGCAATTTTGCTATGATATTTGTTTAAAGTTTAAATGAAACATGATTATTTCAAAGATTGATGGCAACGTTTCTAGAATGATCTTAGATTTTCATATAACATTCTAGATCATTTTTATATTTTCTATAATCGTAAAAAATGCATATAGTGTGCTACATGAAACTTAGAAGGTAGGACCGCTATAAAAGATAGAGACCACCTTTCTAGTTACCGAACAACAACACATTTGCAAAATGCAAATTGCAATCTATGTTGCTTGGGCCTAGGCAACGAAGGGAGAAAACTTGGTCTTCTTGTTTTCTGTGGTTTGTTATCTCATTTTGGTGGTGCATATTACCAATGGTCGACTGATAATAAGTTGTGCGAACACCCATGTTTTCGTTTCTTTTTTGGAGGGCGGGCCCAAGAATTCGTCTGGGTTAAGAAAATAGTTGTTCTAATTAATACACACAAAAATGGCTTTTAAATACAAACTTATGGGATAGAATAAAATAATAAACTTAATATAGTAGAAATCTTATATTAGAATAAAGAAAATAAGCTAAATAGCTTAATTATATGTAGAATATATAACTTGATAATTATCATAAAAAACCAACTAGCAAGGTGATAGAGAAAATCACAAAGTACTAGTACATGCAGAAATAAAAGAACATATTTTCTAATTTAACAAGATTGACTTGATGCTTGAACCATTTGTAAAGGAATTGAATCTCGTTCGTCGTCTTCCAAGAGAGGCATCTTAACTTTTTGAAAACAAGAGAATTCCGGGCTTTTCAAATCAACCATAAGATAGAATAAATAAGACCAAATATCAGCTTTTAGATTTCTTACACAGCCCATTATAGTTCAACTTCAAAATCAGACCCGAGATGCACAAAAATGGTAAGGGTAAGAGGCGAGATCACATAGAGAACCAACTCCACACAACCTTAGAAAAATGACAACGGAAAAAAAAGATGGTCAACATTAACATCTTCATCCACAGCCAAACAAAAGGGACAAGAAATTAATGACTAAGTTAACTCCCCTCGTGATAAGATTCACAACAAGAAGTATATTTTTCAACAACTAAATCCACACAAAATTATTGGTTTTTATAGGGACCCAATTAACCCATTAGAAATTAAACAAATCATCCCCTATCGCAACATTAATAAGCAAGACACGTAACGTTTCACAGAAAAAATACCATTATAATATTCTCACCATATCCACGAATCAAGAATAGAAGAAAGCTGCACCTCAACAACATTTATGTTAACAACGGTCACTGATGCGTGGACCATTTTGGGAGGCCTCTTCTAAAACCAATGAGCAACAACTCTAGAATTTTGAATTCCGTTCATGACCTTACATTATTTTGATACTCGGTCTATTAAAGCTCTGAAAAATGTCTTTAAGAGCCGTATTTTCATACCAACCAACTTTCCGGAAATACATATCATCAACCATCTCTATCCTTCTTCCAAATATATTATCAACTGAAATTTCTATTCATTATTTTTTTCTTCTAAATTTCTATTTATACCTCTCTTTTGAAATGACTATAGTTATTTTTATATATATATATATATATATATATATATATATATATATATATATATATTAAAACTTTGTTCTCTTATGAATAGTAAATTTGTATGTTTTTTTGTCAACTTTGCCCTTCAACTTTAGCCATTTTGACACTTTTGGTCATTGCAATCAAATTTTTTTCATTTTTTAGGAACATTTTAATATTCAAAGTTTGGCCACAAAACTTTAAGGAATTGACAACTTTGGTCCATTTTCTAAAAACTTGCTAATTCCAACCCATTTAATTCTTTAGCCATTTGACACTTTTGATCATTACAGTCAAAACTTTTACATTTTGACACTTTTGGTCATTGCAATCAAAATTTTTACATTTTTTAGGAATATTTTAATATGTAAAGTTTGGCCACAAAACTTTAAGGAATTGACAACTTTGGTCCTTTTTCTAAAAACTTGCTAATTCCAACCCTTTTAATTCTTTAGCCATTTTGACATTTTTGGTCCTTACAGTCAAAACTTTACATTTTTTCATAAAAAACACAAAAAACGTCCCGGGACAAAGCCTAGATTTTTCCGCTAGTTAATATAAAATCAATATTTATAATATATGAACACAACCCGTATTGATATAGGCTAAAACAACGCGACCCGTATTTAAGAAAAGTCAACAGATCTTATTCTGGTCAACATGTCTCGTGTTCAACTTTCAGTGCAATTCCAGCACCCCCAGGGTTCCTCTTTGAGTCGCGACACCAACTTGATTTTTCAACTTTTTTCGTTTGTGTCTAATCATCCCGATATCTTCACCCGACCTTCCCGACACCTCCTAAAGTGCGTTTCCACCTCTAGATCACCTGAAAAGATCATAAAAATGTACAAATAAGATTGTCCTCGCAACTAACATGAATTTTAATATAATGTGTATGAAATGATATAACCACACTCCATGGATGCATAAAAAGGACGAAAATTTATGCAAAAAGATTCATAAAAAGAACATGTATGCAAAAAGATACATTAAGAGGATGAAAATGCGTGCAAATAGATACACAAAATGTAAGTAACATGTATTTATTGAAATTTTAATATTACAAACAAAGTTAAGACGGGGAGACACATTCCCATTATAATATTTATGTTTCTATTACAAGTTAATCTTTATAATAGTTTTTGTTATTATAAAATTGATTTTTATTATATTATATTATATCTAACTATTTCATCAATTAGAATATTTGAAGTATCAATATTATTATTATATTTAAATAAGAAAATAAATGTAACTCATAATAACATTTTATTAGAAAATATAAAAATGAGGTTTGTTGATTGTTTGATGAATACTAGGGATGAGCAAAAGGACCGAACCGGCCGGAACCGGCCGGAACCGGACCCGACCCGGGAACCGGCTTCGGCCAAAATCAAGAACCGAACCGGCCCGGTGGTTCTACCGGTTCCCGGTTCCTACCGGTTCTTGTCGTGTCTTCAAATGTTGGAACCGGTCCTCGAAAAATAGCATCATACGGTTTCGGTTTTTGCCGGTTCTACCGGTTCCGGTTATATCGGTTCCGGTTACTACCGGTTCCCGGTTCCAAAAATCCACAAAAATAACGTCCCGGTCCCGGCTCGACCGGTTCCATCGGGTTCCGGTTCCGGTGCCGGTTCCGGTTCCGGTACCGGTTCCGGCCGGTTCCCCGGTCCATATGCTCATCCCTAATGAATACATATAACTCACTCAATTAAGAATACGTGAATTCTTATGATGATTATCAAATAATAAAATTAATGATTTTACCATTTTATGTAAACTTTTGAGATGGTTATTAAGACTTGTATTTTTAAATAAAGATATTATTTTACGGGTATTATTGTTTTGGAAAATTATAATTTCGTTTGTCTTTAAGTTGTCTACATATTTTATTTTTCAAAAAGGAGATAGTTATTAAGACTTGTATTTTTAAATAACCAATTCATTTTTTGTATGTTTACATGCTATTATCTAAGGTTGAGCATGTCAACTTTTTTTTTTCAATTTAATATTTTTGGTATAGATTTTAAATATTATTATAAATTTGGTTTGAATATCAAATTTTATTACGACAAAATTATAAAAATGGTCCCTATGGTTTACTAAAAGTCGCAAACTCAGTCTCTATAATTTTTTTTGATGCAAATGGTCCTTATGGTTTGCAAAACTTGCATAGCTGGCCCTTTTTACTATCTCCGTCAAATTTCTGTCGTTAGTGCCTCCCATGTAGGGGGTATTTTAGTCTTTTCAGGTATAGGAGGGACTGAATTCGTTACATTTAAACCATAGGGACCATTTTTTATATTTTCCTTAAAAACTAAAGATCTGAAGGCGGTGAGGTTCGAACTCACGACCTCAAACTTTGCATAGGAAGTGCCTTAACTAATTGGGCTAAACACTTCTTTGTTTTTTCTTTCCTAAAACTAATTTATATAGTAATAAAATCGTTAAAACATAAATAGTAATAAAAATGCAAAAACATATTTTTACGTGAAACGTTTTTTTAAATGAAACAAATATATTTTTGATGTATTATAAAAAAAATAAATTTATACAAATAATTTTTATGTTTTTTTATGTATTTTTTTATGAAAATATGTTTTTTTATGTATTTAAAAAATACATTTTCATATAATATGTTATTACGTTGTATTGGAATGTAAAATCGGTCGAATTGTTTTAAAAATTAAAATATATCGCATTAATTTTGGAACAACCACATTTTCTTAAATGTTTCTTTACATATATTTGACAATAGTAATCCGGGTATTGTTCCGTTGGTATTATAATAACATATTTCCAATTTAGGATGAAAAATATACTTAGGTTTTGGGGAGTGGTCATACCCTCCCCACCGAAAAAGTGCTGCCACCCACGTCAGCTTCACACCCAACCCACCACCAACCCACTACACATAGGAAATGGTCACCACTCCACAATATATTTTTTTATATTAAATTAAATAAAAAACCTAATTAATAAAAACATAGAAAATAAAAAATAATAATAATAATAATAAAGTCTAGGGTGAAATTTGTAAATTTTATAAACTAGTTTTGAGAAAAAAATTAGAAAAAAATTTGTTATGCTTTTGATCCAAACTCAAGGGACCAAAGTTGACAATTGTTGAAAAATGTGTCTTCTTCCTTTCTGATTAAACGAGGTCTCCATGGCTTCCTCCATTAGAACACCTGCAACATAAATTGTAAAGATCTTTTTTTTTTCGTATTGCTTCCAACGATTAAAATTGAATTGACCAATCAAAGCCTCCGACTTCATCCGTCTTCCGCCTCACGTCACACGCAAACCACCCATCCCTGGGGCGGTGTTCACGCGTGGGGAGGCGCGCCACCTCAGCCCAAGACGTGTGACCCCCCCCCCCTACCCTACCGGTTAGCCTTATATCGTCACTAAGCTAACACTTATAAATAAAATTTATTTTTTATTTTTC